AACACATGGGCCCTTTGTGCCAGTGCACTCTTTTAAAAACCCTGTTTAGTCTCAGTGGGTCCCTGTCTCCTGCCTGAGACACCCATATGGGTTTTTGATTGACATGGTTTGTTTCTACGCTGTACAACATTACACACTTTCCACTCATGCACTCACCTGCACTGCTGAAATTACTGATTGCCTTTGATGTTGCCTTTAAGTTAATAAATTGCTTGATTGCGTGAGTCTCACTCGTCACCATCGGTTTGTGACGAGGGTGCAACAAGAGATTTCTTACATCTAAGGAATGTCCCTCACCACTTAAACCACCAAACCTCTCTCCTTGGTTTTCTGCCATGTGTAGACTTCTCTTACTATTCCGACATGTAACGTGACTCAATCGAAACTTGTGCTGGGTTCACGCAACAGCCACACAATGCAAAAAGGAAAACCATCTTTATGATTCTTTTGCCAAGGTAAATGCAGATTCTATATACAAATAACTGCCCACAAAATGAGCCCCTTTGAGCAATAAACAGATAGGAGTCTGTGGTTTTAACATTTATTATGTCACGAGGTGCTGAAACAAAAAAATCACATTCTGAACCCTGTATAGTGCACTTTTAATGGCGGCCAATGCGCACGATTTGACAGAACAAGACTAGAGACGTAATGCAGCAGAGAAATGCCTTAAAGGTTCTCTGGAGCATGGACTGTAACTTCTGCAAGCAAAAATACAATTCTATTGAATACAAAATCATTAATTGAAAAAAGTACTGGCCAAGGGTCAATGAGGTGCCCTCATGGACCTTTGTTGTGTGTCATTACCTGTCTCTCTATCACTTTCTTGTCCTTTCCTGACCCCTCTGCTGTTCACCTTTGACAAAAAGCAAAAATGCCCCAAAACATATTTTCTAAAAGGCGGAGACAAGTCAGTGGACCTGTCGACGTTCTCCTGGGGGAAGAATCTCGAGCTTTAACTCAGAGGTAGTATGAAGAGAGAATAAAGAAATATAGGCACATTGTGTTGAACACTACTGCATGCAAATAGATAAAGTTTAGATAAGGTTGCTCAGGAACTCAGCACATTTTTACCGAAGGTTTTATCACCAGTGTTTTTTTCAGCCAATTCATTATACCTAGCAACTGGTGTGCTTCAACTGAAATCTATCCTCTAGCAAGTCAAGCTGTAAGTCACTGAACAGGGTTACTGTTATGCTCATACTACCAAGACATAATTCTGCAACAATCAACAGTAAAGGACATACATTGTATGAGAATTATGATGTCTACAGTATATTTGTCCGAAATAACCAATAAGACATTAAAGTCGCTGCTACATGTGGCGCTGCTACCGTCTTGTACAAAAAGTCAGGGTGAGTTTAGGGAAATGACTGTTTGATGAAGCCTGTTTGAAATGACTCATTTTGTGTTTGTTGTGCTTTATTAGATTACTTGAAGAGTTCTGATGACCATAAAGATTTGGCGCTTTGACCAGCTCTCAATAAAGACACCTAACAGACTGAACACCCCACGAGCCTCGCAGAATTTCAATTAATGCTGATCCAGTCGCTTGTATCGTTAACTCTTTGACCACAATCGTACTTCTTTTCAATTAGCAGAGGAGGCCAGGGAAAACTTTTAATTATTACACATTTAATCACATGAGCACAGGCAAGCACAGAAAAAAGTAGGTAACAAAAGTGCACTTGATTTGATTGAATGGTGTTGTATAAACCCTTCAGCATGCTTTCTCTAGAGGGCACTGCAGTTCATCATCTGAAAGACTGGATCAGTCCCACTCTGTCGTCCAGACTCTCAGAGGCAAAGCTCCTTGCTTAAAACCAGTATAACATTTCAGTGTTTGCACACCCAACAGTATAAGAAAATGTTCTGTTGTGTTAGGTAAATCTTTCAAAGTAAAGGTTCATTTCTTAAAGGCAAGATTATTGTTTGATGTATTTAAGCAAAAAGTATTCATGCATTCAAGCTGTGAGACATGGCTGCAATAATATCTGTGAAAATTCCAAGATTCAGTGAAAAACAGTGACATACAAACATAAAATCTGATGCTTTAAAACTTTCATCCTGATGAACGTTGGACAAATATGGTCCTAGCTGTGCGGCTGAACACAACAGAACAAAAAACTGTTTATCTGAGGGCTCAGCCTTAATGACCCGTACTACTGCAATACTTACAAATGCAATGTCCACAGAAAACTGACAAAACATCAGCATTATACAATCAAGTATTATAAAGAAGGAGAGTAAACTATTCATTGGACTTCATGGATTGTGTTCAAGTACCAACTCATACAATAATTATATCCATTAGGGATTCCTAAAAGTAGAATTATCAGACCAAAGGTTGGCTTGTGTAGAAAATTGAAATAATCACAGTTCCATTAAAAGCCCTGCGTAATTACTTAATGCATGATGTAGAGTGTATGTGCTGGTGGCTGTCAGAGTGAAGGTGGCTCCATCCTTAACGGGGTATTATTATCTTTTAGAAACATAATCTTGATGTTAGTGAAAGCCTGGAGTTCTGCAGGAACCTGCACTCTGTCAAATAGCTATTTTTAAACTCCAATGTTAGTCTGTACTGTAGCTTATACGGTATATTGAAGCTGTGGAGGTGAACATATGTGGAAGGATTAGACACTAGAAATCAATCGGGAGAAATAAAGTGACAGATATTCTGTATTAAAGTGCTTAAAATCTACCTAGAAGAGCCAAATGAGAACAGAATGTTGGGTCAAGGTGGTTCCACAGGTCTGGACATGCTGCAAGTACCTGTATGCTAATGTTGGACTTGCTGTGGAGACAAATCTGCACTTGAACAGCAGACCATCAGATCTGGATGTACCCCCAACACAAAATTAACAGATGCATTCCTCTCAGCCCTTTAGATTTGCATAAACATCCATTAACTGAATAATGTGAATGGAAGGTCGAGTGCCAAACGACTGTCATGGGTTACATGCTCAATGCCCAATTAGGAGGCAGATTATTCCATTTACATGTATTCTGTTTACGCTCTGATTCAGTGATTGGCAATGAGCTACCAGCAGGACTTCTATCTATTAGAATTAAAAGCAGCCAGAAAAGCAGTGGCATGGTTTGGATTTTTTTACAATGTAACTTAAAAACAATCCTGCAAAAGAAAAATAATTTATTGGAAATTTAAAAATGTCTTGCCTGCATTTCCACAAGGTTTAATTACACACACAAATGCATCATAATTGAACTGAAACAATTCATTGATTAGACCGTCCACAGAAAATTGCTGAAGAAGAAATGCCAAAAATCCACTGATTCCAGCATCTTGCATGTGTTTTTATTATAGTATTAATCTGGTAAAGCAAATATATTTGGATTGTTGGGAAATTGTACTTTTGTCTGCAAGTTGTCTACGCTATTTTATGTCATTTTATAGACCAAATCATTAACCCAGGATGTAATTGGCACATTTACCATTAAGATGGATGCAATAAATGAAATCATGGACAGAGACACAGTTACAAACCTTTAACCTAACAAACTCAAAGGGACCACAGAAGTCACAATCTTTAATTCTGATATTCCACCCAATTCAACAAAATAGATGAAGTGAAATGCATTTGAAGCAGATTTAAAGTCAGCCTACGTGAAAAAAAAAACAAACATATTTATAATTAACGTATACTCTTCCAAATCACTTGAGTGTATCAAGTGTAGAGGGAGAAGGAAAATACATATTTGTTATACTCTGGTGGTTTAACAATTGCGGCCTTTTCCTCGCGTCTCTCTTGCAGTTGTGTTTGGCTGCAAGCAGAGGTGGGCTTGTAAATGGCTCGTGTTAGCTTCCTGCGCTCTGATTGGCTCATTCAGACACCAGTGGCAGTGACTGGCTGCAGAGCGCGGAGCTGTAAAAAGGAGACGAGCTGGGTTGAGCGTTTCACTCAGCACACATCTGCCTCTGTTCAAGGATCCTCTCTGGTGCCTCTGCAGGCCGCAACACCTTCTGAACAATCCCGGGTCATTTTCCTCTTTTAACGGGGGAGGTGATTCCCTTTGGACGGAAACTGCCACATTTGAAGTGAGTGTTTGTGTTTGTTTAGCCTACTTTTTATTCGCTATTCTGATTTCTTACTGAGTGATAATGTATGTTTTGTCTTGTTTTAAAACTGGTTCATTATTTTTCTTGCAGTATCTGAGTTTTACAGATGAGAGGAGAAGAGATGGTGAGTTCGTTTTATCTTAATAATCTATTTTATACTAACTATATTTTTTAAGCATATAAAGACTGGGGCGCTTTTATTTCAGACAGCGGCCACTAATATTTGCGCATCTCGATATACTAACTATATTTAGTACAACCTGAATAGAAAATCAGTCCGGCTGTCGCCCAACATATGGAGAAAACATCCGCTCTTGCAACATCTCACAGAGTTATGACGAATAGCCAATGGGGGCAGAAGGTCTTGCAGCAGGGTCAACTACTCAAATGGATTGTGTAGACTCAGAGCAGAGAGGTCATTACAGGTTTAAAGGTTAGCAGACTGACATTAGTTGTGTTGGATGTGACCTCTATGGACACACATGAACCTGTATCCTGTGGTTCCCCCTGATGTTTGTGCAGCACACATCTCACCTCTTGTCAGCTCTTTTATTTATGGCAGCATCGCACAAAGTTACATCGCTGTTCTTAAATCTGATTTAAATGAAGCAAACTAACTCGTATAATAAAGCAGTACTTGCTAATATGAAGTACATTAACTTATCCAGCCATGCAGTGTTAAGAGATCAGAGTAGGCTAGTATTCACAAAGAATATGGGACCTCATCTTTCTTCCTCTGCTTCACGTCTACTATTAAACTCTCTCTCACACACACACACACACACACACACACACACACACACACTCACACACACACACACACACACACGCACACGCACACGCACACACACACACACTGTCACATGATCTCTTATGCCCTGTTTGAGTTTGAGTTTGAGCCACTGCTGCTCACTGGCTGATTCTGGCCAATCAGCGCAGTGAGTCAGAGAGGAAACGGGAGTATTATATTCCTCACTGTGTCACTGGTGAATTTCATAGGCAAACCCGCTGCACCCTTAAAGAGGCAGGAACCCTGTAGCTTAATCAAGATCCACAAGACCCCAGTTACCACTTGATATACTGCAGATGTTTTTGCTTTGCCCCTGGAGTTGTCTCAGGATGTCGAGAAATAGTTGACGTTAGACATTAGCACAGCTCTCCCTGTAATAATATGTGTCTGGGTTTTCAGTTGATCACGCCTAACTCAATGAAAATAGGGCGTTCACTAATGTCGCTGGTGTGGTCGAGTAAATTAACAGACAGATGAATTTGCTTTGTGTTGAAATTAGTCTATTGATGACCTTTATTCTTTGATCAGCAGGTCGGCGGGCCCTCAACATTACAATGAGAGTCTTTCATAAGTTGAAACTCACAAGCCTGAACGTGCCCGCAGCCTCTGCATTTACTCAACTCCTATTATTAGATCCATTCTGCAGCAGTTAATCAGAAAGGCTTAGAAATAGCCAGTGCTCTACCTGCTGATGTGCCACTGTGTGTGATACAGTATATTGACAACTTGTGTCTGACTCTCCCTCTTTTTGTCTCCTCAGCTCTGCCTGCGTGACTCAAGCGACTGCTTACGAGAGCAGATGCAGTACATGATGAGGTCACTGCAAGACCTGAAAAACCTACGCAAAACCTGCCCCGCAGCCAAACGCCCTCTCAGCACCCAACTCCCAGCTTTGGTGCGCCACTCGGCAGTGGCCCGGGCCTGTCAGCAGCGGGCATTGCAGCGAGAGCTGCGCACACGTTTGCGGATGTCTGATGCCAGCACGGCCAGCACGTACGACTCGGCCTGCTGCCTGGCGAGTCATCTGGAGGAGGACGAGGACAACTTGAGCAGCCGGCTGGGCCTGAGCCCCGGACTGGGCTCTCCCAGCAGCCAGAAAAGTTTGGAGTTTGATTCAGGTTACTCTGAGGCGTCATGGCAGGACGAAGGGGTGGTTCTCAGGAGGACCAGGAATGTGCGGGTGTCATCTTCAGCCTGCCTCCGCACAAACAGAGCAGCAAGTGGACGCATTCGACCCAAATCCACTTCTGACGCCTGTCTGGAGAGATGGACATCGTTTGAGGTCAGCGACTCAGAGGACTGGACGAACTCTTTATTGACCAGAGGGCGCAACCGCCAACCTCTGGTTCTGGGTGACAACAGCTTTGCAGACCTCATACAGAACTGGATGGACTTACCAGATTGTCCCGAGCCCACTGCGCTTGAGCCAAATTCAAGAAGTAGACCGGGAAGAGGTTTCTTTGTCAACATGAGGAGGAAACTGGCTGGGTTTTCCAAGAGTGTAGAGGACAGAGTGAGGATGAGATCCACAGACTCTGCTCATATTAACAGAGCTGCAAATGCTCCAAAACGTCTGTCCTGTCCAGTCGTGGCATCGCAGCCCAAAGTCCCTTTTTTCCACCAGTCTTACTCGGGCATTAATGAGATGAACACAGAGTTTTACAACTTTGCAGCCCTCATGAAATCACGCAGCCGACAGCCCATCATCTGCAAAGATATCATTTGCTACGTCTGACACAAAGCCATGTAAAGACTGGACAATCCTCAGAGTCACTTTATTTTTTATATGACTGTTTTTTTCACTTCGTATATGCTGTGACTAAGCTACTGGAAATAAAGATGTTCTCATAATTTAAACTCTATTTATTTGTATTATCTGTGTATTGCATGTGACAGGCAATTTATGTTTGGTTGATATAATTTTGAATTCCCAGAATACACACAAACACCGTTTTTTTTTCTTTTCTTTTTTTTAAAAATTTCAATAAAACTTCCGGCATAGTCATCTGAGTTTCATTACTGCTCATTAAGTTAGACAGCGACTCCGGACCGCCGGATTACGGCAGGCTGTTACTGGCGGTAAAGCAATGGAATATAAGTCCATTTGTTTATCTGGGCAGGCATGGTGGAGTTTGTAAATGCATGGTTAATTGGTTTATAATAAAAAAAGATAAATTAAAAAACATGATGATATCACAGAGGAGCAGGCATGCAGTTATTCCAGGACTAATAAGGGCAGTTGAGTTTGTAAAGTCCGTTTTAGATCATATCTTGGAGCGCTCTCGTTAGATACCAAGGGACTCAATGTCCTCAAAAAAAAAAAAGCTTCTCTTCTTGCTCAACAAAAAGTTGAATCCTTTGGAGAGGCTATAAACGGGGCAACAGAGCTATTTACAGGCCAGAAACAGAGACTGTATCAACACAGAGCGCCGTGTGCCTGATGAGGTAATTCCCCATGTGTCCATGCAGAAAGAGGTGAAGCAGCTGGTTGCAGATGGAGCAGAGGTTTACTTTTCCCTTTGCTTTATGAAGCATGACTTCTCACTAACAGCCCCCTGCTTCATTTAACATGGCCCCTGCTCGTATTATGGTCTATAGCCACAAAGGTGGTGCCAACTCATCCACACACATTGGTATATGGTACTATCAGTTCTGGGCCCACTGAGGAGGGTAAAAAAAAAAAACACTGATGCAAAGAGTGATATACATGCCAAGATAAGCTAATGATCACTTCACCTTTGGCTTCACGTATTCGCTTTGTTCATCAATTCAGAAGAGAAATAGCACCAGACATTATAAAGATAAAGAATTTTCCCATAAAAAGGTTCTTGTTGATTCCCATGCTCCCTGCTGCAGCCAGCCTCACCAATCATGTCTGATACTGAGGGCATGGGAGGTTACAGAAGAGGGATGGTTCTTAGTGGGTGCCGCTAGTCTTAGCCTCATTATCTACGTCACCTATCAGGATACAGCTATAACATTCACACTGCAGTGTATCAACCCACGATAGAAACATTGAATATCTTGGAAGTGAGAACTTGGAACAAATAATCTGTGTTCACTTTTTTCCAGAGGTTTTTCTGGCTCTACTGCTGATTTTTCCTTTTTTTGTAGCACACGCTGGTTCCCAGTGGTCTACAGCTGTTTAAGTGCATCAATACATCACCTTCCCCAGCTGACTGAGAATCATTCAGGGACAGGAGTTGAGAGGAGAAGAGTGAGGAAGCAATGGATCCATTACTCATCTCTACAGCACATAGTCTCCACACTGTGTATGTGATAGCAGGAGCGCCTGTCATGTACGTTAAGTGTGGTGAGTAGTCGACATGAAGCATTATCAATGGTAGGAGATGAATCCCTCGCTATCGTAAATTGAGGTTACACTAATGCATATAATAATGAAAAATCATCCCAATTAGACTAAACCACCACAGCTAACAGACAAAAAAAGTGTATGTGAAAGAATCTAGTTGTTGAAGCCAGTTTATTAGGATAGCACGATACAAATATAAGGTTGGCTGTGATCCAGTGGGTGAAACTTGCATCAGTGATGTGTACGTTCAGTGGAAGGGAGAGCTCACGAAGCATGCTCATGCTAGATCAGTTCAACACTGATTCTTAATTACAGATTCTCTCTACACGTCCCTGAAAATGAGTTTTCCTGAAAAAGTTCACGTGACCTCATCCAACCATCAGACAAGTGCATTTGGATTTTTTTCTTTCTTCAGCACCTTTTGATCTCATTCTTCTCGTGGTCTGGGGCCTGCTGCAGTACTAACCTCTGCTACTTGCCCTCATTGCTCTGACCACCATATTAAATATCAGTCCTCATTTATCAGATATGTGGACAGGAGCTGTGTGTGATGGCATAGCTGGGGTCCACCTAAATACTTCTATCTCTAAAATGTAAATGTTCCCGTTACAAGCCAAGATATTATTCTGTAAATAATGGCAATTAGTCAGCATTCACGACTGCATTATCCTGTGAGCCTGCCACCGCACTTTGTTAATGCATCAAACCACCTTTAGAGGGACACTTTAAGGTAGACACATCGGTAAAGAAGCTCCAAGAAGGTTGCTCAACAGTTTGCCCATCACCACAGCTTAATAAAATACCATCCCTCTCTAGCTGTTAAGGATGAACGAATGTTGCCACCCACAGTTTGATTAGAGCATGTGCGACTCGGGCAGATATGACTGCGAGTTGCCATAAACACAAGATGATCTGCTGAGGCATCGCACACTTGCAGGGTGGCCCAGTCTAATGTAGACACACAACAAACCTCCTGTTAATTAAAAGCGGCGGTGAGGATTTTCTTTTTCCTGGTCCTCACTGATAGTCCTGGGTGCTGTGAGCATGAACTCATCCTCACTAATCCCTCATTCACCATGTTGTAATTATCCCTTCAGTAAACAGAAGGAGAAGATGAGCCATGTGTCCTCATCTCTGTGATTCGTGTGTGTTGATAGAAACAAGCTCTAATTAGAGCTGCTACCGGTAAAACTCTGCTGTAACTGTCAGAGAAAGGCATGTTCAGGACTACTGCTCCGTGTACTTAATAAACGGATCTTAAATTCATCTCAGTTGACAGTTACACACATCATCTCAGTGAGCTTCGAGGTTCTTTGCCTGAGCAGTGCAGGATAGTGGATGCTGATGTTTGTGCTGCGCTGCTGAGTACAGTTGTTCTAATCATCGTTTCAATATAGGACTTTTAAATGTCATCGACCATTGTACTCCTTTACTGCACTAATGCAATAAATATGTCAAAGGAAAAAGTGCTCATGGGAAATGAGTGAACAGAGCTACAGTGATTAGAGGTCATTTTCTGTCATGGTGTACAACTAATGGGAGAAAGTGGTCAGAAATAAATGGTGTTTTACACCTAATTATCACATTCAACCAGTATAAGACTCCATGGCTTACCTGCTGCACAGCCGATTTAATGGCTGTTATTACCAATATCTAGAAATGTATCTAGATGTCAGAATAAATGTTGTCACAGGACCTGGTGATTTTATTTTCATCTTGTTAAGAAGAAAGAAACCACTGTTTTTTTAGTTTCTTCAGCTTTTACATCAGAGGGCTGCTGACTCAGATCATGTAGATCTGCAACTGCCTCCACACCTCCCAAAACCCTTTCACTGGGTAACCAGAGGGGAATTACGTCATGTGTACAGAAAATTGGCAAGCTGTGATGCTTCCAGAGAAAGCAAGTTTCCATTGGAAATGAAAGGATACTGCAGAGTATACGAAACAAAATTCCTCCAAAAACAAAAGATAAAAAAATGAATGTACGTGATGAAATTTGGGTTTTGAAGGAATTCCAGTGGACTGCTTCAACAAGCTCATGCGCAATTTAGAATTTAAGGGTTTCATGTTGTGGTGAACCGGGTCTAGGTCCAGCGGCCAAATGCTCCAGTGGGACGCTGTTATTAACTTTGCATTTACAAGTCATGGTTCATGAAGACCCCATAATGTTGTTATTGTCCACATTTGATCTGTTTATGGGGCCTTCTTTGAGAGAGGTACTTGTTGAAAAAAGCTCTTTGAAGTATTATGCATGTCAGACAACCTTCATTGACTAATCTTATATTGTGTGTATCACTCTACTATGTGCTCCTTTGTACATTGTACGAAGTGAGAATCCTATCACGAAGATAAAACATATATATTTTGAATAGCTTATTGGTGCCCTCCTCTTGCAAAAATTAGGGGTGCCCTATTTATTGCAGATATAATATTGTTATGTATTTCTTTTCAAGAAAGAGCTTGTGTTAACTAAATTAATATTTCCAGTAAACTGTCTGAGTAGCACATATAAACTGGTCGATAAAGGGCACTGTGGGGATTTTTAGACAGGTCACATGTGAGGTCAGGATAAGGTCAATCTGTGCGTGATTGACAACTGATACTTGAGACTAAATGTAGCACCACCCGGACGTTGAACAGATGATAGTTTAGGCCTAATCTAGTTCAGTTTGGATTATTGATACAAACCCCAAATAACTGCTCTGGATTATGGTGTGCAATCTATAAGACGCACTGCGGCCATTGCTGACTCTGCCCGCCAGTTATAGCGAAGTGAGGAGTCAGTCTCTCACCTGTCCAGGATTACAATGAGTTGCAGATTATTAAAATGACGCAAAAACACCCTTTCATGAGCGAACTGACAAATGCATTGGACTTTGATGGCATCGTGGAGGATTGTGCACGAAGCAGGGCCAGGAAAAATGAATTGCACAAGGTAAGACTATTTTATAATTAATTTAGGCTTATAAGTATTTGAATATGAAAGTCGTACATCATATTTATTGATGTCATCACCCTAAAGAACCCTTCTTGTGTGTGTGTGTTAAATTAATGTCACACACAAACACAGATACAGAATATGGAGGGCCCGCCAAAGGAAAAATCTTACCGGGCAGCCTGTTGTCTAGAGCCATGCCTTGCAGAGAACTGTGGTTTTTATTAATGTGCTAGCTGTTGGCTGATGTACCAGCTAAATCCTGTGTTGTTGAGATACAGGTGAATGTATTTCTACTTATTGTGCTGTTGCTTTCAGTTTCCCTGTGCTGTAAATCCTGTTGAGATGTAGGGGAATATGCTGTTGGTGTTAATTGTGTATATGCGCGCTGTAAAATGTAGTTATTGTGCTGTTGGATACAATACATGGCCTGCCTTTTACGTCCTCAGAACCCAGGGGGCCTATTGTCTCACATATCGGCCTACATGTACCAAACTAAATGTCTATGAAGCTGTGCAGAGTTTAAAATACTTGGACAGATGCCCAGCAGTGTTTGGCTTCCTAATCTGTTGGACGACTAGTGGACGATTAAAAGCTTGTCTGCCGGAAAAATG